AGAGCCACACTCAAGGGGCCAAAGAGCCACATGTGGCTCACAAGCAGTGGTTTGCTGATCACTGTCCCAGAGAAATCCCTTCTCATGCCCAGAGGCTGGACTTGTGCAGAACACTCAGTCTTGCTTGCACCATGTTCTACCTCACTCTGTGGCCTTGAGTCACAGTGGCCTTCTTAGAGTTCCTCCAACACACCGTGCTCCCTCCTGCCACAGGATTGCTGAACCAATCTCTCCACACCTCTTTTCCAGGTTACCTCACACCCTTCCTCTTTCAGCTCTCAATTCAGTAATCAGTTCCTCAGCAAAGCCGCCTTTTATTCCTTAGTATATATTAGGTTTTTAAAAATACACTCATGGAACCATATTCTCTTTCTTCACAGGACTTATTTCAGTTTGTAGTTATAGATCCAATAGTCTGATTACTGGTTGCAAGTCATTCTGAAAGCAGACAGTTTGTTTCTTTTCACTTGCATATCCCCATAACTTAGTGCAGTGCCTGGCACAAATTAGGTGCTCAGGGTACAGGTGTTGTGGTCAGTCTTTACTTGTACTCGACATACATATATTCAATAGGTCCCATATTGGTCTAGGGAAGAGCCCAGTTTAACTCATTCTTAGTCCTGAGAAGAGAGTACAAGGATCCTCAGTATAATGTAGTTTTCATAAAGAAGCAATATATTTTTATAGCATTTTTTTCTGTATTTTCCTAGAAAAATCACTTATCTAGAAGTGAGTTATTATTGTCCTGATATAGTTAACCCAGTAAGGCCAAAGTTTGACCACTTTAAACCCAGAACCTGTTATGCAGGGACAGACTAGCTGTGGATGGAAAGGAGAGAATTCAAGACAAGGTATCATGAAGCTAAGGATGCCTCACTTTGATAAGGTGCTAAACACAGCAATCTTAACCTCAGAGGTCCTGTGAGCACCTGGTAACTAGGGTAGAATGAGCAACACCCTGCAAAAAGCACCCCACTGTGGAACCAGAGGTGAAGTCTAGAACTGAGAACTTGACCCAGATAATGAATTCAGCAGAATTCACCATTCCCACATTTAACTTTTCTTTTTTTCTGTCCTTTTCAATAATAATTCAGATTGTGTTAGTCTCTGTTTATGGATCATTTCTGAGCAAGGTGCTGCCCTAGGTATATCTGTATGTGTGTGTTCATATACACACAATCAATCAATATTAAAAACACTCACAAAGTCTCACAATCCTGTTTGATAGACCTCCTCTCTACACGCCATGAAGTAGAGGGTTGAATAAGTGAAGCCACAGCCAGCAAGTAGTAGAGCTGGGAGAACTCTAGGCTTGTTGGACTTGAAGCCTGTGTTCTCAACCATAATTCTAATGTCACACCAAATGCTAGTCACTGGAAGTTAAGACTTAAAAACAAAAACAAAAAAAACAAAACAAAACACAACATATCACAAGATCACTTGTCTTTTCACTTAATGATTTTTTTTACATAAACATCCTTTCTAATTATTTAAAGGATTTTTTTCAGTGCCTAGGAAATCATAGGCTTGAAATTTGTATTTTATACTATTCATTATCATAAATTCATAATTACGAAGACAAAAATAGTCCACCTAGTGCTTAGATGACTGTGTCTACCACTTCTGTGGTACTCATGCCATGCTGTGGGAACCGCATCACTCCCTCCTGAACCATCGGGCATTGGAGAAATGGTGCTAAACGACACAGGGTTTAATAAGGCCCGCCTGGTGGCTGATGTTTTCCCCAGGCTGTCTTGAAAGGTGGCCGCTTCCTACCCCAGAGGTGGCTGCACTTCAGTGACGATGAGCAAAACGGCCCTGGTTTGTACATTCTGCTCAGTGCTTAGGGTGGTCTGGTTGAAAACAACTACATAGATATCAGTGATCATCGTTCTCATGATGACAATGATTATTTTACATATGGCTGCTTTAAGGGTGAATGACACAGTCTCATTTGTATGCTAGCATCTGGCAGGCTGCCTGACATCTGCAGAATATAACCTAAATTGTGCTATGAATATTTCCCCTTTGCATTCTCCCCAAGGCATCTGTCTCCCAAAATGCCTCAAGAAACTTCCTTCCCCTTCAAGGCCTAGAGGCAAACTTCAGAAAACATGTCATCTAGACTGGGGACAGCAGCAGCCCTGAGTGACAGCAGCTGAGCCTGAGCAGATTTCTGGCTCCTGGAATAGATGTAAAGGGAGAAAGGGAACCACCACCCACACTCATTTTATTAGCAGCTGCACTTCCAGGCAAAATCTGTAGGCAGGTTCTCACAGGCTCAGACAGTATGTGGAGTGGCGCTGTAAGCAGCAAACGCTGCCAGTCATGATCCTGATGGTCAGTTCTCAGTGTCTCCAATATCACCTCTACCTGCTTAAAACCACCGTCCCTGAAAAGCCTTGTGGAGCTACTGAACACTCTATTGTGGTGCAGACTAGACAGCTGCGTGCCAAAACCAGGTCTTTTTTTCTTACACACGTGTACCAGTATCCAAACTACATTTCCCAGCCTGCCTTGCAGTTAGAGGTAGTCATATGACTCACTTCTAGCTAATGGAATGCACACTATTTTAGGTTGGCTCATAGGAGTCTCCCTAATGTGGTCCACCACAATCTTCTCCCTTTGCTGCCTTGATGCAGATAAACATGATGACAAGATGGGAAGAAACCCGAATCTCTGAATCGGAAGAGTCAGTTTGGTGATGGGGATAATCAATATTGGACTTTATAAGAGAAATAATCTTTTATATGTTTGAGCCATTATGAGGGTCTATTTTATATCAGACCATTCAAAGCTTTACTCTAATATCTTCTTAAAATAAATTTTTTATGTTAAATTTAATAATCAACTATTTACTAAATATCTCCACTTAGAAGACCTATTAATACTTCAAACTTGACATGTTCAACCCAAATGGAATTTCCATATGTCAGAATGTTCTAGGGGGAAATCCCAAATACACAAATAAACAATTTCAAATAGTGATAAGTGCTATTGCGATAGCAGGGATAGAGGGGGGTTTGGGGACTACATGGGAACTGATGAAAATGCCTCTGAGGAGGTGGCATGAGATTGAAGCCTGAACGATGACACATAGTTAGCCATGTGAACTCTGGGAGAAGAATATTCTAGAAAGAGGGACAGCAAATGCAAAGTATGAAAGTAAAAACAAGGTGTATCCAGGAACAGAAAAAAGGTTAATTGACTGAAGCAGAGTGAATTAGCAAAGAGTGGTAGAAGAGGATACCACAGAGGGAGGCAGAGTCCGGATTGTGTGGTTCTGTCCAAGGTAAAGAACATAGATATTATTCTGTGTCAGTGGGAAGCTATTAGAGTGTTTTAAGCAGGGGAGAAATGATATCCAGATTACATGTTGAAAGGTCTCCCCTGTTATGGGAACAAGTATTTGTAAGACAGCAAGAAAGAATGAGACCATATAGATGAGTGCAGTCACACAGGTGAGAAAACAATGGACTTTACTAGTGTGGCTGGTAGGAGTAGAGATGGGGAGAAAAGTGATTTGAGATAAAATTTACAGGAAGAAAAGGTAGGGCTCAAGGGTAGATTGGGTTGGAGGTGGGAAGGCTAGTGAGTGAGAAAAATAATATTGACTCCTGCCGAAACCGGTCTGGCTCAGTGGACAGAGTGTAGGTCTGCAGACTAAAAGGTCCCAGGTTTGATTCTGGTCAAGGAAGGGCATGTACCTTGGTTGCGGGCACATCCCTGGTAGGGGGTGTGCAGGAGGCAGCTGATCGATGTTTCTCTCTCATTGATGTTTCTAGCTCTCTATCCCTCCTCCTCCTCCCTGAAAAAAAAAAAAATTAAAATATATTAAAAAAAGAAAAAAAGAAAAGAATATTGACTCCTACATCAGTTGCTCAGCTGTTTGGATGGAGAAACCATTAACTGAGATTGGGATTTCCAGTGAAGAGTCAGGTTTGTGGGGGGATGGCTCACATGACATGTACTGAATAAATGTCTGACTTGTATGATTAAACAGAAGGTCAACATAGTACAATAAAAATACTGGCTCAGACACTCAGCAACTTCTTTGACTTTTCTAAATTTTAACTAAACATGAGCTAATAACACTGACATTATGGGGTAGTCATATCAAATATGCCCTTGGTGGATGGAGATGGAAAAGAAGAGGGATGGGGACTTGAGGGTTGCAAATAAAGTTTGGTTTTTGATCTAGATGCTGGTTACACAGGTATGTTCTGTCTGTGAAAATCCATCACGCTCTAATATTGTATGTGCACATCTACAAATGAGATTCTATGCAAAAAGTTCCCAGTGCAGTGCTTAGAACTCAATAAATGGCAGTTGCTATTATTTTCATTATTATGATATAATAAAAATCATGATGCAGCCGAAACCAGTTTGGCTCAGTGGTAGAGCGTTGGTCTGCGGACTGAAAGGTCCCGGGTTCGATTCTGGTCAAGGGCATGTACCTTGGTTGCAGGCACATTCCCGGTGCGGGGTGTGCAGGAGGCGGCTGGTCGATGTTTCTCTCTCATCGACGTTTCTAGCTCTCTATCTCTCTCCCTTCCTCTCTGTAAAAAATCAATAAAATATATTTAAAAAAAAAACACACCATGATGCATACCTGCGGTCCATGCTGTCCAGACAGGGCACTGAAGAACACTTCATTTAAGAGTAAGAAACCCTTACCTGAAGTCTAGGGACCTATCTTATAGTTGATCAAGTCACATCTAGTTTTAATTCAAGACACACATGCATCTGTCTGAAGGAATTGATTCAGAGTTCCAATCCAGAGCTCGTCCTGGCCCACAACTTATAACTCAATGCTTCCCCAACATTGTTAGAATGAAAGAGCATCACAGATGTCAATGTAATTTAAAAGACGACAGTTTTCCACAAGTGCTAGGTGATTAGTTATGACAACTCCTTTCGTTCCACTTTTGCCGAAGCCTGCTCTTACCTGAATCCTCCTAATTCAAGCCAGTGGGTTATTGGCCCCAAGGAAAGGATACTAAAACTTTGATTGGTTATTTCAAAGTTCCATAGGTTAATCCTCAGGTCATCAGCTGACATGTAGGTTTCATAGTCGCTGTTGACTGATATGGAGTTGATGTGATATGTGTGTGCATTGGCAAATACTCTTCGCGGGGTGGCCTCCACCATCAGGTCCATGGGTCTGAGGACAGGCACCTGGGATACAAGAGAAATACATCCTTTTAGGACCAATGCTTTGCATGAGGAAAAGAGCAAGCATGTTTATGTCCTTTATGTTCACACATAAAACCCAGAAGCACATCAGGAAGAGTCCCAACAGAAGGAGGCCTAAATCATGCGGTTCCTGTTCCCTTCTGTTCCTTTTAGTTTTACTCTTTTCTTAAAAAAAATAAAAATAAAAAAAAGTCACCATCACTTAGGCCAGAGAGGTTAAGTAATTTATGTGAAGTCACACAGCTAGTGCTCATGCTGGCCCTCCTTGACTTTGGAGCCTAAGACCTTATTCACTCCATATTCTAGGCCCTGGAAGAATGCACTTGGGACACAGGAGACTAAATAGACATGTTGAGCCGGTGATTTGTGCTGTGATGGAGGTCAGTAGGCACTGTCCAGGCAATGTTGGTCAGACAGGTCCTGTGTCAACCTGGGGAGGTCAAGGGAACTGTCAAAAAGGAGAGACTATCAAACAAGGCAGGGCCTGAAGGATTTGTGGGAATCTACCAGGCAGAAGTGGGATGGCGAGGAGAGAGAGCTGTACAAAAGAGAGGGTTCAGCTTGTGCAAAATCTCTGAGGGGAGAGTGCAAAGTACATATGGGTAAATGTGTGACTCCTTGTGTCTGGGCCTGGGAGTTAGTGATTAATTATTCGCTCAATGAATATTCACTAAATCACTGCTTTGTATCAGACATGAAGGAAACTGGAGTTGGGTAAGGGGGTGGAGAATAGATGGTGTGCTAGTTGAGGTGGGGTGGTCATGGCAGGCCTCTCAGGGGATGGTATTTGAGTATAGGCCTGAATGAAGTGAGGGAGGGAGCCATGTTGCTCTCTAGGGAAGAGCATTCCAGGCAGAGGAAACAGCAAGTGCAAAGGCCCTGAGGTAGAGAATGCTTAGAGTTTAGGCAAAACAGTGAGAGAAGTGAGGAAGGAAGGATCATGGTAGGAGATGTGGGATCACAGTCAGGGCTGGGTCACAGGTATTATTGGGAATATAAGGAAAGCTCACGGAGTTACCAGTAGCTGTCCATTACTGTCTCCCCTTCCTGTTAAGGCATTCCCTCCTTGTCCTCTCTCTCTTACCTCTCCACTCCTTCTGTCTCTCCCCACCCCTTTCATTCTCCTCCTTCAGCTTCTTTCTCATTATGTTTGCTACCTCCCCTCCTGGGAAATCCAATCATCTTTCACTTTCCAGATCCTATTTACTAACAAAATGAATGTTGCTGTCACATGGCTTATTGGGTGACCACGCTGGTGATTCTTCACAATCTTCCACAGCAGCTACCTGGGTGTCGGCCGTGGGTCAGAGAAACCCCCTTCAGAGACACAGTGAAAGCTGAGCTGCATCCTGGATGCCCTCAAGGCCCCCACTTTAGACCATGTCTGTGAAAACGCACAGCGGGGAGAAGCCAGAGGTGAGGACTCCAGCGCCTTCCCATACTGACTCTTCATAGAGGAAAAACAACAGCTGTGTTTACCATGGCAACCTCCAGCGCCCCAGTTAAGTCCACAGAGTCCAGGCAAGACTCTGGGAGAGGGAAGATGGCCAGAAAGGAGCAAAGAACAGAAAGAACATGGAGTTGGAGAAGGAAAAGAGAGAGATGACCCCTCTGTAGAAGCACACGATGGGTTTTTAGCTGCTCAGTAACCTTGGGCAAACACTTGAAAACAGGGGTTAAGTACAACCAACATAATCAACATGGTGGGGTCTTTTTAAAAAATGCTCTCAATTTTAATCTGTGCTTTCTCTGTATCTCCTTGTCAGAATTTAACAGATGTTCCCCACCACCCTCCCTAAATAATTGAGATTACTTTATATTGAGACTAATAAGGTTCTACTAAGGTCATGAGGTTAGGTGGGTTTCATGGCATCAATTAGGAAATACAGGAATGCAAGACCTCACAGTGACCCTCAGATAAAACCTTCACTAAACATTTATTGAGCATCTACTACATGCGGGGCAGTCACCATACAGAGTGTCCTGAAGAAAGGTTGAAAATGCACAGCCCACACATCTTGTTCTTGTTCATGACCAGCCCCTTTGGGAAGTGGCAACGTGGCTGTTTGACGTAGAAAAGCAACATGAGAGCTGTCCCCCTTCTCCTGGGAGCAAGGAAACCCTGAAGCGGTGCTCTGGGTCCACAGGCTTGAGGCCTGGATGAGAACATGGGTAGCTTATACCACCCCATCAACGACCCTAAACGAAGAACAGGTAGAGAGGCTAGAAAGTTCCAGAGTCCAGCCTCACTTCACGTTTGCCATCTTGCCCTTCCTGGGCTTCCTTCAATGAACATCCTTCATGACTCTCCAATTACAATTACTGTGGTTTGGGATCAAGCCAATAGCTAAATAGCACCAGACTTCATTGTCAAAGAAGAGGGAGTGAGTCACCTTGAAAATGTGGCCAACATCGGGTCCGGCTTGTTAATATCCCTGTTCCAAAGCAACTTGGCGCAGTGTAGGTATACAGCAGCACTTTCAAACAGAACCATCTGAAACAGTTTTAAAGGAAACTTCCCCCATTTCTAACTTCTGTACATGTTCCTTCCTAAAAACAAATCATCTGAGATACCCACAGCCTAGGTTCTCCTCCCCGTTGCAAAAGAAATAAGACCGACCCTCACCCATCCTGAACTTTACTAGGGAGCACTGTCCAAGATATACTTTTGGGAGGGACAACTGGCCGGTACCATCAATCAAGGCTCCATAAATGCCCCGACCCCTAGCTCATTATAATATGAAATTCTAATAGTTTTACTTATGTTTAATCATTACTTATCAGAATTATATATCAATATTATTTCAGTGAATTGTGCTCTATTAATTTAAAGACAATTATACCCACAAGAAAATTTTAAGCTATTATAGTCATATGTACATGGGAGGAAATTCTATTTGTTGTTAAAAATGATAAAAAAAAAAAAGCTTTAAAATTTCTTTGGGGGGAAAGTATAGTGGAAATGCATGTTTAAAGAAGAAAAAGGAGGACTATAAAGTTCTTTTAAATAATTTGTTCACATATTTTTTTATGGATATTGGTGGGTATCCAGTTATGCTGGTACTTAAATATCTTTGCATGCATTCAGAGGGGATATAACAGTTTTATTCCCAACAGCCTATGCTCAATATACTCCCGAAACCACATTCTCTGTAACTACTTAGCATCACAATGGAAATGCTTATTTGTCTATATAAAAAATGCTCAGGAAAGTACATGGCTTTTCAAACTTCTAGGGGGTACACAAGTACCACATGTGAAGTTGTTGTGGTGTAAGAGAATTTTTGGAGCCAGCAGAGCAGGGCTTGCATCCTGGCTGGAGCATTTATTGGCCATATGGCCCCTTTCTCCATGTCAGTGTTCCCTTCTGCTATGTTAGAGAGAGCAACTCTCTTGGTAGCTTTGCTGAGAAAATTGAGCACAGGGCCTGACACACACCACCTAACAAAGAAACATCTATGGAGAACTTTGTGCCAGAATGATGCTAGCACTTTACCATGTTACTGAATCTTCACAATGACCTCAAGAGGAAGATACAGATACTGTTTCTACTTTACAGATGTGAATCCTGAAGCAACAAAGGTCATGAAACTTGCTCAAGGTCATACAGCCCCTAAGCTGTGGAACTGCCCTGGAACTTGGCCATCTGGCTCCAGCCCCTATGATAACTGTTATTAGAATTTTTTACCATTAAGTTCCAATTATGGAGAAACGGTCCCTTTTGAGAGATTGCCTAGGGAAGATTTTTCCCCTGATATTTTCTATTGGCTATGGCATCCCTTCCATCCAACCAAGGAATTCTGTCATGATTATAGAACTTAGCAGTAAGTTCTATGACAGAATCTCTAACATAGCATCCCAATATTGTATCCCTCAGGAAAAGGGCTAGAATGATTGGTCATTGGGTAGCAATTAGCTACATTGAGAAAAAAAACCACACACACACACACACACACACACACACACACACACACACACACAGCAAACTGCTGGCTTTTCTGGTTAGGAAAATAGCTCCTGTCCACACTGTCATGAAAACCTTGAACAATATGGTCGTTCATCCAATTATCAAACCAACCTGGGGGGCAGAGTCTGGCGTTACGTGTACCCATTATTAAAGGGTAATTCAGTGTAACAAACCAAATCGAGTATGTACAAAGGCTGTCAAATAAAATAAACCACTAACAAATTCAATTACGTCTCATCTTCAGTGGGAAGAATGCCAGTCATTTTTCATTTTTAAAAATATGCGTCTTCATTCCATTTTTTTTTTTTTAAACAAGCATTTCAAGGCCTCGTACTGGCCGTACTGAGGTTGAGTTTCCAGAGGCACACCACTCAGGTCCTGGGATGTTTCCTCTTGGGGGATTAATGAAGCATCAGGGAATTAACAAGCATCAAAAAAACATGTTCCCTCCACGGATCAATGGTGGATGGAGTTCAAAAAAGCAGGAGTGAAAGGTTGGCTCCAGCCTCCTGCAACACATCGGAGCCGTTGTGTGCGGAGGGAAGCTGCCACTCAGCAGCACCACACCAACACACCCGGGAAGCCAGTCCAAATCACAGACCTTTCACACTTCCCCGATCACACCCTTCCCCAGCCTCAATATGCCCCTGGTTCCTTCTGCGGCTGCCTTTGTCACAGAGACTGGAATAAGCCCAAGAGGAAAAGCCCCTTCAGACCAAGTGAGGTTTTGTGCTTCAGGCTCTTAAATACCTCACGATGATATTCTTTCATTCGACAAACATTTATGAAGGGCCAATCGCTTCATAAAGGGCACATTGCAGAGGGAGCCAAACAGATGAGCGGTGGCACTTACAGTCTCACGGGGAGGAAAGGCATGCATGTCTCAAGGTGGATATATTGCTAGAGACGTTCAGTGATGCTATAAAGAGAGGCAGGCACATTGCTTTAGTAAAGGAAAAGGTACTGTTTCGTTTGAAAAGGGAGGGGCTCTAATTGACGCTGGGAACATTGTTGT